CCCCCCTCCCCCCCCCCCCCCCCCCCCCCCCCCCCCCCCCCCCCGTGATCTGGGAGTAGGCCAGGAGAGTGAAAGGGGGCTCATTTTGCTATAACGGGCTGCTGAACAGCAAGGTGCCCCTACTGAGGGAAGTTTCAGGTAGATTCCTTCCTTCCCTCCCCACAGGATCCATTTCTTCTCCTTTCTTTCTCTCCCTATAGCCCCCCCCATGTGGTTCTCTAATCCCCTCCCTTTCTATTTCTGTCCCACCCTATAGTTTCTTTTCCTCTCCTTTTTTATCTATGTCCTCGCGCCTCCTCTGCTCCCCTTTCTCCCTGCTCTCTCCTCTGCCCCACCTTTCTCTATTGCCCCCCCCCCCCAAGGCTAAGCACGAATCTCTCAGGTCAAGAGGGAAGCTTTGCGAAGTTTCCCCTACCTTTCAGTCCTGGCTCCTCCCTCCTTGCACTAGAAGCCCACGATCTAGAGTTTGGGTGCCTCCTCTCCTTCAACTCCCCCAGGCCCTGACCACGCCCCTTAACTCTCTGGCAGACCCCAGAGCCCCCAAGCCTCCCCAAGTTTTTCGGGGGGAGGAATTCATACAGACTGAATGTTCAATACCACCAAAGTCGAGCTTGGCCCCACCCTGCCCCGCCCCGCTAAGGGGGAGGTTCATACCAATCCCGAGCCCCACCCAGAAAGAACTTCGGCAAACTGGGGTCGCCTCATGAACTGAGAGCTCCCCCCCCCCACGCCATCATCTTACTCATATTCTTCAAGAGCTCCGCCCCACCCCCTACCGCCTAGGGTGCAAACAACATCTCTGGGTTGGAGCCAGCAAGACTTAGAGAGATGGGGCGGGGGAGGGGGGGGTTTGCTGCTCATGTGGGGGGGGCCCCCTATGGGCCAGACTGGGTCGCCATTTGGGCGTCCCCTTGCGGACACTCCTGGCATTGCACTACAGCCCCAAGAGACACGTTTGAGGGGGAACTGTTTACCCACAGCACGGAGCTTCTCCGCTCCCCCGCTCCCTTTGGGGAGCCTCCCCGCAGGTCCTTTATGCAGTGTGAGACTTTCGCCCCCTCCCGAGTGTGCCCCAATTTTCCAAGAGCCTGGGGGAGAGCACAAGAAGGACCCAGAGCTTCAGGGACGCAAGGAGAGAGGGAGGAGAGCCCCTGGGCGTGCATGCACACTCTCCAAGGGGAAGCGAGTTCCCCCAGCCGCCCCGTCCGTCCTGTCCTGTCCTACGGAGACCTCCGCGCACTGCGGGCAGTCCCCGGGCCGCACCAGTCCCATGGTGGGGAGGGGACGGGGGCCAGACAGGAGGACGGAGGGGCCGGTGAGCGGGCTGGCGGGCCACAGGGCCGGCCAGCCTGCCGTCCGGGGGGCTTACCTCAAAGCTGCTACAGCTACTCCCCACCTCCTTGCTGCGGGACTGTTGTAGGGTGCTGACACTCGCGTCCGCCGACCCTGAAGCGACTCCTCTTGCCATGTTCCCTCGCTGACGAAATCTCATCATTGGTCTAATTTTGGATTCGGGTCAGGCTGGTTCTGGCTTTTTATATTGGGGGCGTAGTTAGGTTTTTTTTGTCTTTTTTTTTTTTATTCGAGTGGACGGGCTTTGGGGCGGGGCGGGTTGACTGGTTGTTTTTGGATGAGTTTGGGGAGATAGTGAAGAGGGTTTTGAAGAATAGTGGACAGAAGCAGCAGAAGACAGTCAGTCAGAAGGACAGTGCAGAGGCGACAGAGTGAGCGAGAGCGGCGTGCGAGCGAGCGAGCGAAGCCAGAGGGGGCAGAGGGTGAGAGAAAAGGAGATAGAGAGGGCGAGGGCCAAGGGTGCGGGCAGACAGGGGCGGGACGATCCGGGAGGGGAGGATCGGGGGGGGGCACCTAGGAAGGAGAAGAGGGTGAAAGGGCCAAAGGTGCAAGGGGTGGGGAGGGAAAGACAGAGCGATTTAAGCTAAGGGCAAGGGAAGGGGACCAAATTGCCTCCCACGTCGGAGCGACGCCTTGTATATACTAGGCTCCCAGAGAGCCTGAATCCTCCGCCTTCGGAGTCAGGCTAAAAAGATAATAGGCTGCAATTTGGGGGATCCTGTGGGGCGGACTGAGGGCGGGGAAGGAGATGAGACCTCTGGAGGCGGAACCTGCCTTTTCCCTTTAAGGGAGGTGGAATGGGATGAAAGCTGAGGTAGTTAAGGAAAAGGCAGTTTGGCGTTCTGCACAGAGGCCCCAATTAGCAGCAAAAAAAAAAAAAAAAAAAAAAAGGGGGGGGGGAGGGGGGGGGGGGGGGGAAGGACGTTGATTGACGGAGGGGCGCCGGGCGCCTGCAGATGGAAAGTGAGGCGGGGGCAGCGCCCACGTCGTCGGATGGGATGGAAAGGCGGCGGCGACGCGAAGATGGTGAGTCGACGCTGCAAATCCCCGACTACCTGCTCCGTCTAGGAGGAGACAGACAGATCCGTCCTCCTGCCGTGCTTTTATAACGGTTTGGGAGAACCCGCTCCGATCGCTGGATGTCACTACTGGCGGCAGGCCCGACCCAATGGCCTGGAAGAGGGTTATCTCGCTCCGCCCCCCGGCTCCGCCCAGAAAACCAAGCCAAGCTGGGGGGTGGGGTGGGGGGAGAATGGGCAAGGGGAGGTGGCCCCCAGAGCTGGGGGGGAGCGGCAAAAAAGCGGGGATTGGAATTTTGTAAAGAAAGCCAAGAAATAAAACAATGCAAAAATGAAAGAAATAAAGAATGGGAATGAAACGGGGGAAAGAAAACAGGGAGAGAAGAAGAAAAAGAGAAAAGGCGAGGAGAAAGACAGGAAAAGAGGGAAAGAAAGAAAGAAAGAAGTGAAAAAGAAAAAGACCGAGAAAAGAAGGAAGGGAGAAAGGAAGAAAAGAAGGGAGGGAAGAAAGAAGGAAGGAAAGAAGAGGGAGGGAGGGAAAAAACTGAAAAAGGAAATTTTAAAAAGGGGAAGGTAGGTTAGAAAAGTAGGAAATAAGGAAGGAATGGAAGAGAGAAGATAAAGAGAATAAGAAAAAAGGGACAGAAAAGAAGAAAGGAAGGAAGGAAACTGAAAAGAAGGGAAGGGAAAGAGAATAGAGAAGGGAAAGGAGGAAGGGGAGGGTAGAGAAGAAAACAAGGAAGAAAAGAGGGAGAAAAAAGAAAATTTCAATAAAGTTTTTCCATGGCGCATATGGAAATGGCAGTCTTTCTTTCTTTCTTTCTTTCTTTCTTTCTTTCTTTCTTTCTTTCTTTCTTTCTTTCTTTC